ATGCTGGCATACAGACAGAGACTGGCGAGGGGGGTGCAGAAGGGGACACATCTGTGCCGCGGCGCCGAGTGAGAACAGCTCGCACGCGCCCGCTACCGCCCTACCGGGAAGACAGCTGGCACAATTCTCCGGCTGGGAATCGGCTGGTATTGCGGGTGGGCAAAGGTAGTGCTGCCGGCCGGGAGGGTGCTAACCGCGTGAAAGACGTCTTTGTGCAGGAATGGAGAGGGTGAGGAGTGCCGGGAGAAGTGAGAGCTGATCTGCGACCTAGAGGCGCTTATCTGGGGTACCACTACACTCCCATCCTGTAGCCACACTAGAACATCTCGGGTTCAACAGCAGCGGGTGGTATGGCACTGGCTGTGTCCTTGCCGGAGGCCTGGGGTGCCCGTGGTTTGGAAATCTTTGAGTCGGGAAGGGGGAAAAAGCAGCTTCAAGGAAGCAGGAAGGAATTCAGGGATTTGCCTTCCCGCGCCCTCGGGTAGAGCTTGCTCAGGTTGGAAGGGCGCAGCCAGTCGGCAGGCGCCCGCACCAGTCAGGGAGAAGGAGAACGGCGCCCCAGGCATCGCAGTCCCCACCTGGGGGAAGAGGGGCGGGCGCCGTGCTGCCCTCCCTCTGCGGCCCAGCCGCGTGGCTTGCGGCTTATTTTCCCAGCTGGCAAGCGTCGCGCTGCAGACAAGGGAATGCCTGTGGTGAGTTGTTTATTTTTGTTTAAGTTTGCGGTGGGCCAGGGGGACGTGGGGGGCGACCAGCAGGCAGCGACCAGGACTGTTTTGTTTAGGTCTCCATCCACCTGTGTGGTATAAATCTGCCAGCCTCAGGACGGCGGAGGGCCAGAGTAAGAAAGCTCCGTCACTCCAAAAAGCTCCTTTTTGCCACTTGCAGGTTTAGGAACTTAGTCGTGATTTTCCACGACTGGCACCGGCTAGATCCTAGTTTATGCTACCCTTGTGTCTCCCATCAAAGCTTCCCACACCCACTGCGGACGGGGCTGGTGACCCCCATGGGACCTGGGGAACACTTGACCATTGAAGTTTCTCTAGAGTGCCCTTTCCTGTTTCTTGAGGGCAGGAAAGTTGAGATTTTGATGTGAAGAGTGCTTGTGAAATTTGTGGGAACTTGTTCTAGGGGCTTCTCGTTTTGCCCAATACTGCAAACTGAGATTCCGAGTTGGGCAGAACGTCCTGAACTTCAAGGGTAAGGGTGGCCAGTTGGCTCTGGAGGAGGTCAGAGGGACCCCTCCTCATCCCCCACACTGCACACTCACACACACCCCTCTTCACCCCCCCCCCACCCCCCACCCCCAGCCCTCACAAGGGCTGATGGCAGTCAGGGGCTTTGGTTGCGTTTGCCTAAAAGAAAAACCTAAATACATTAGCGAGCTGGTAAAGCTTTTAAGGCCTTCTTGGGAGTGAGTGGCTGGCTAATGAGAGGTTAATTTTGTTTCGAAGGCTGCGCTGGTTTCCTGAGATAAATGGACAGGAAGCACATTACCTCTGCGCGCTGGCAAGCGAGTCCCAAATGCTTTTTGCACCTGCCACTTGGAGCGGTGTGAGCTGCAGCGGAGCACACAGGGATCACAGGGGCCGATTGTATAGGAGAGCTCCGGTGATGAGCCCTCCACCCACCTCAGGCAGTTTCTCTCTGGAGGCACAGGGCTCACGCCGATTTCTGTTCTCTCACACCCAGGTCTTGTGGCCTCTGAACTTGCAGAATTCCCTCCAGGAGCAGAAGGGTTAAGAATGATGTAAGTACAAACCATGAGCTGCTGCTTGCTTCTGGGCTGTTGGACTTATGCTATTTCAGCCTTTGCTTTGAGGACACCTTGGACAGGGGAGTTCTTATTCTAGTCCTTATTCTGGCACAAATTGAGACCTCATGTCTTGTTTCTGTCTCCTTGAACACAGATGTGTTCGAGACCTTCACATAATCTGGAAATGGATATATACTATTAAGGGAAACAATTAAGACATCACATATAGGTTCTAGAAAAGAAACCATATCTTGTTTATAATCCATTAATGATTCTGGCATGTGTTTTAATTTTATTCACGTGCACGTTCATACAGTGGCATTATTGGGTTCCTGCTCTGATCTCATCTTTGCTTCCTGAAAACAAAGAGGAAGGGAGCGAATATAAGTGGCAAGTGAAAGTGGATTTGTGAGTTGTAAAAGCCTTCACTCATATTTTTTTCATGGTTAGCATGTAAAGAGTACATGAATCATCTATTTTTGTTGTTGTTGCTTACGTTCCATCCCATCCCAAGATTTTTCTTTATCTGAAATCCTCCTTAATCTTAAACAAACCAGTTTAATGAGTGACCACTCGCCACTTTCTTCCTTTTCAAAATGATTGTGATCTGACAGTCTGAATTTACCTCGCAAGTGTCAACTGACCTAATAATGTCTTGACACTTGAAAATAGAAACCACCTTTCAGTTTAATTGTGAAAATTAACATTTTCCTCTAGCCGACTGAACACTTATGCAACAATAAAAAGTGAATTGTTAGGCTTATAAATCTTGGGCTTGTCAAATTTTACAACAGAGGAGCAATAAAGCACCTTGCAGGAGATGAAGTTTTTCCTCTTAAGACCAGTTGTTTTATGATGCCAGGATTTGGAGTGACTCGAGGGCGCCCTCTATTGATATATTCTAGAGCACCCGGTTAACTAAGGAACGGGATATGGGAGCAGGGAAGGATAAAGAAAACGGAAGGAGGGGGGTGGGAAATCATGAATAGAGAATAAATAAATTCTCTATTCAAAGAGAATATTTATTCTCTACCCTGACGATACATTTTGAAGTATAGCCAATAAGGTGGGATGCTTCTTTCATAGGGGTCAAATTATAACTAGGATTAACAAAAAAGAAATTGCATTTTACTAAATTAGTCTTTATTAGCAAAATGCTTTGAAACACACCATATTCATATTTGATTACTTCTGAAATAAATTCACTAGTGTTTTATTAACTTTATTCATTGATTATGTGTAGTAATTGCAAGAGAGTAAATTTTAATTCTAGTAGTATTTAGTTCATAGCAAGAAACAAAAACACCCACCCAAATCCGTGGAGTCAACTCCAACTCATAACGACCATATTTTAGTCCATAGTATTGTTTAAACATCATATCTGCTGCCACTCTAAAGTCATTTCTCCAGGCAACTCTGAAGCTATTACTAATTATATTCATATTATGAGATATATATAAAGCTTGGATTATAATCTTGGATGCTGAAAGGTATGTTTACTACTTGAGTCATCATTGCATGAAATAAGAAATGAACAGTTACAGTATAAAAAAAAAAAAAAAAAGAAGAAGAAGAAGAAAAAAGGTAGGCATCCTACATTGGGGACCTAGTGGTTTGAGCAATTCACAATATGTCTAATGAGTAAATTATTGTGCCCTTAGGATCGCCCCTCAATTATCCTGATGCATTGATTAGCTCATTGCAAAATGTGAAATATTAACATGTCCATGGTTGATATGAAATTCCTAATTGGAGATTCTGAATAATGTAATGTGGGTAGGGTTACAAACAATGATTTGTCTGTAAGTGGATTTAAAATGGCAGCCCTGAGCCATCTGGGGGGAACAGCAGAGTTGAGGATAGTATGAAGTGGCTCCTAGCTTTGAGACCCTCCTTGAGATTAAACACTTCACACCTACTTGTAACCAAATTGGAGCCTATCATCAATTTCAGAACTGCTTTACTTTTTCCCCCACTTGGCAAATGCTTTCCTGGAAGGCAGTTAGGTTTTTCCTCATTTTTTGGTCCCATCCAGCAGCAAATATAGAAACTGAACAGCCTTTGAATTAATTCGCTTACTATAACTAGAAATTTATAGAAAAGCCACTCAATAACAAGTCGTGGCATAATTATTCTACACTGCTTAGAAACTCATCACCTTCATTAATCTAATTGTACTGTAACCTAACACGTTAAAGTTTGCCCACTCTCAGATCCCTCCCTGCCGCTTTCCAAAAGATAAAAGTCAAAGAAACAAGAACACCGAAGCCTTATTCAGCTACTAGCAAATTCCACAGGGAGCATGCAGATACCGTCCCAGTTTTATCCCATCTGCCTCAACCTCGGATCACATTCTGATTTCCAAAGTGGTTTCTAGTGCTTGTTTTACAACAAGTTCAGAACATGGTCCTGCAGATGTGATTGGCTGTCAGGGACCTGCGCTCGGCACTCCCTCTAAACTCCACTTCCTTTAAGGAGGGGTTCGCGGAGCAAGAGTAATTTATAAAAAAATAAAAACTTGGAGGGAAGTTGAATCCGATTATATTAATTTGAGAGGTCAAAGACCGGTTCTTTTGTAAAGCCGGGCAAGGTACACTGCCATTGCCTGTTTCTATTGGGTGCAATGAAACAGTAAATCCTGGAGAGGGGGGAGGGTTGATGGCTGAAGAGAAAAGGAAGGAGGCAGGGCCCGGGATGGACGGACCGCTGTTGGAGGCCACAGAACTCAAATTACACTTGAGGGGGCGGGAGGAGGCGTGAGGGCGGGCACTTGCTCTGCAAGTGGCGGGCTAGGCTCAACGCACACTCACAGCCAATGGAAATGGAGGGAGGGGCACAGCCGAGGATGAGGGCGGCACAGATTGGTGGGTACGGACGGGGCGGGGCAACAATGCGGGTCTGAGATTGATTGACCTAGGAGGACTCCGCGCAGAGACACCCTGGCGGCTGGCTGCTGGCTGCTGGCTGCTTCTTCGTATAGCTGGGTGCACTTCTGTGAGTCCACGCCCGCGCTCACTCTGGTCGAAACCCACGCTGGCCAGGGCGCCCACGCTCTCTGGGCTGCAGTCCACGCTAGCTCACTGTCTTTGTGTCTTCTCTCCCACCCCTCTTCTCCCCACTGCGGCCTCCAATCTCCGTGATGCCTCTGCGCCCCATTGCCGCCGCCTTCTCGCTCCGCCCGCGGCGCGCTGCTCGCTGTGGTGGTGGCGGCGGCGGTCTGTCTCCAACTTGGGCCTGAAGGAGGAAGAAAAGGAAGCGAGGCGTGTCCCCCTGCCCATGCAGCAGCCACGGCCCCGGATCCACCACGGTGCCAGTGCTGCCGCCCTCGCCGGAGCTAACGAAACCTGCATGGATGGGCATGGGCTTGAGAGCAGCACCTTCCTTCGCTGCCGCCGCCGCCAGGGCTGAGCAGCACCGCCGCCTCCAGCCCTGCCCACCGCCTCTGACTCTACTGCTGCTGCTGCTACTCAGCCTCGGGCTGCTACACGCAGGTAAGAAGCGCGGGGGAGGGGGGTCCCCCTAGCTCCAATGGCTTTGTTTCCGAAGAGACTGGTTCTAAAGCCATTGCCGGGGTGGAAGGCAGCGTGGCGCAGGAGAAAGGCCTTCCAAACCAGGCATGCACCTCGAGCCCGTTCTCAGAGGCGCGTCCTGGGCTCCTGTGGGAGGCCCCTTCCTTCCCACTCTCAGTTGGCTTGGACCGTTGATCAATCTCTCCGCAACACAGCTGCTTATCAAAGATTTAACGGGCGGAGGCTGCAGAGCTGCGATCCTGAGACAAATGTTCCGGATGCTTTATTGCTCTCTGCATTGGTGTTTACTGAAAGTCAGGCTCAGATCGGGTTTCCACTGCCGCCACCGCCTCCTAGGAGAGACAAGGAGCCTTGTGCTGCCTTTCTGAAGTTGGGGGAGAAAATGGGGGTGTGGGGGTGGCTACGAGAGGGAATCGCACCCAGTGGAAAGATTTCAGCCAGAGTTTGAAAACCCGAGGGTCAGTCTCGAAATAACCAAAACTTCGTTTGAACAGGGATTTCCTTCATATTTTCAAAAGCTGTGTTTAATTCTCCTTTCAACCTCCCTGGGTTTGTGGATTGCCGCGTGTTTTCGTTTGACAGAACTCCTACTGCTTTCTGAAGATCGCACTTTCGCTTTGAAAGCAGCAGTGTGGAATCTTTTTAGCAAAGCAGGCATAAAGATGAGTCTTCTAGCACGTGTGATAACCTCCTATTTTTCTAGGACGCTCTTGACAAAGACAAGCATCACATCTCAGGAGTTTGTATAGACAGTTTTTTTTAATGCCTGAAGTGAAGGGGAAATCTTTCATTTTGAGAGTGACTAGAACATTAAATAAATTTCTTTCCCTTTGATATCTTTTTGCCCTATATTTATATAACATAAGTCACAATACTCTGATTTTCAGAGTCTTGGACGTTAATGCCACCCAATTGTATAGAGCAGTTTTTATTTTTTAAATCATACCAAGTATCCTAAAAATAATAAGTCTTTTAAGTAGTGGGAACATGTGTAACATTTGAGGCAGCGACTTCATTTACATTGCATTATGATATAACATATGCATTTTAACACTCACTTGGGGGGAACGTAGACTGAAATCTTATTATTATAAAGTACAATAGCAAGTTTAGGGTGATTAAAACTTAGAATTACTGGTTTTAGAATCTTAGAAAATAATGGGAGTTGTTTACATTACATAAAAAGTGTTTCTTGATGTATCAAGATGTATCTGGAATATTTTGTGTGGAAAATGGATCAGGAGAGTTTGGTGTGAAAAAATGTGGGCCCATAATAACCTAGTAGCCCATTAAAACCATAGCTGTCTAGTGGATTCTAACTCATACATTAAATGAAATGGAAATTGAAGTGTTACGCAGAACTGTGCCCCTCTTGGCTGCTTGGATATTGTTTCCTATAGTTGTCATAGATTCCTATGACAGGCCTGCAATGTGGTCTTGAAGATTTCTTTGCTGGCCCAAGAAAGCATAAGAAAATTAAGGTGCCTTAGATCAAGAGCTTGTCATTTGAAACTCCTCTATGTCCTCACTTAACTCACCATTAGATTCAACCTGAAGTTGCTGTGTTGAGTGATTTCTGTGGATAACTTGTTGGAATGGAGCAGGAGCAATTCTTCTGATTATAGAAGAGCGCTCCTGTTCAGAGATTTCTTTTAAAGAGAGGTGCTATTGAAATGCAGGGGTTATGTATTAGAGCAGGGAACCTAGCTGAGTGCCTTCTGCAGATGGACTACCATATGTTTTATCGATATTATTAGCTTCAGCACCCCATATGGCTCCACATTTCTTTTAGTACACGTTAGCATATCTTGTTTCTTTTATTATAAGCTGGTGATTGTACTGCAAATCACACGTGTAGCCCTGGCAGTGAGAAACAGCATTTTGAATGGTGATGTTTTTATGTCTGAATCATTGAAGAGAGCTCTAGACTATGAAATCTTTTAGCACTTTCATTAGCTCAGATGAAAATATCACATTGATCATAGATGACCTGACCCCCAAACAGATTTGTGAAGCTACAAATTTTGAATTATGACCTTGGGAAATGAAAAGAGTGTTTTTATTTATTCCCACCCACCTCTCCCCACCCCCCCACCCCCCCTTAAAGCAAACTTTTATAATTCCTGAATGGAGATCCAATATGGGAGTTACTTGCTTACTCATATCCAACATGGCCTTCTTGGCTACATCTTTAGAATTATTTCTGCTCTGCATTGTCTTAGCCTTTTGATAAAAGGTTTACTTTACTGCTTGTAACAGTCGGAGGTGTGTAATGTCATTATAAATTCATGAAGCTTGGGTACTTCTGGGTGTATCCTACAAATTAGTCATTATACAAGAGCCAGTGATGGGACTGAAACTGCTGACCCAAACAACACTCACTCTCTGGCTTGCCCAATTCCCTCCCGTCAACACTATGAAGGCTGTTGGAACCAGAAGGCTGTTGGAAACCGTACCCAAAGCAGAGCAACCTAAGGAATTCTGTTTTATGTGGAGGTTTCTCAAAGGAATTAAATCTACCTGCTATGAACAAAGAAGGAATGGTGGAGCTGGGACTCTAAATTCAGATTCACTTCCTTTCTAAACAGTTGCAACTACAACTCCATGCTGTTCTTACTTTTGGTATTTTATGACTATTTGAAATAATTATACATAAATGCATGCTCGGATGGATTTTATAGACCATAAAAAGAACAAATAGGCACGCAAGTTTAGCGGAAAGTTCTTGTGCTGTCATTTATTTATAGTCTTAAGAGCTGTTTGTTACTGAGTGATCTTGGCCTCCTGCTTTTATTTCCTTGCTTTCTGCTCACTGTGAATCTGATTTTAAAAGAAGGGGAAAAGATAACATTTACTGTCATCTTCTTCAGCTATTAAGTACTGTTGTTAGGATTAGGAATTTGGGGTAAACATGACCTGTGGAGGAAGGAAGATAGAATCAGAGGGAAAACACCACATTTTAGGATTAATATAGTGTGGCTCTGTGAGTTAATGCGCCAGACTGCAAAGCCATTTGAACTGCAATGTTGCCGGTTCAAGCTCACCAGCAGCTCCTCGGAAACCCTATACATGCTTGCTATGGGTCGGAATCGACTCGACGGCACTTAAAAACATCATCCAACCAGGATGAGGCTATTATACCCTTTGCCACGGTTTTCCCATCTGCAAAATGGCTTTAATGCCTTTTGGGTTTTATTTTAGGTAAAAGTAGATGAAGATGACTTGATAACTATAAATACTAGAGAGAGGAACTTTAAAAGTATTGGAGCTACTTTGGTCAATTTCAAAATGAGCAAACATAAAATTGTCCAAGCGCTTAAAGGTGTTATTGTTTTGTCTTGTTTTAAGTGGGGCTTAATGATGACTTTAATTCCATAGCTCCAAAATATTAAAATGTTTTAATCTTCTCTTTTATTCAGGCTAAAGTGAATACCAAATCTAGAAAATAATATTTTTCCCCATTTGGTCTTTGAAATGTAAAACGTGATTGTGCCTCCTTCAATCCTTTTCTGCCAATGGAAGCCAGAAACAGAGATCGCAGGTTATTTATTCAGATTTAAAGACAGTTTACTTTGGAAAAAATGAAAATATATTTTAGGCAGTATTAGGGGCAGTTTTAACTCTTGATGAGCTGAAGAAATCTTACTAGTATCTGAAGTTGCTGCACGTTTATCTTGAATACTTTTTTAATCATATCTTGTGTGTTTATTAATTCTCTGTTAACTCCTTTTTCCCTCTCTTATCTAAAATACAAATTATTAGATATGTTATGATTGGGGAAAAAAAAATTACCAGGTCCATCTTGGAACAACAACTTCATTTCTCAGATGAGAATCCTAAAAACTTGAGAATAAGAGAGACTCTCAATAGCAAAAGATCTATAAGGAAAAGTAACAGAAAATGTTTGGTTTATTTCTGTAGAATTTGAGGTTGATGATGAAGAAAAATATTTCTCTTCTTGTTAAATCCATTGTGATCACTTTGTGGAGCAGAACATTAAACTGAAGCACACAACTCATCTGCTATTGGCACTTACTGGGCGTGTTTTTGTGCTTTGAATGTTTTTTAAGGTTTTTGTTTGAGAGTCAGCTAGAAAAGTGGCAAAGCATCATTTGGAAACTGATTTTTTTAACAGTAGGTAATTAGTAGTACATTTTAGGTTTGTTTAAATCATTAAGCTTACATTTGGCTTTTCTCAGTTTAAGGGAAAAACTGAGGTTAAGGTTAATATCACAAGAAATCTGTGTCCTATAGTTCTCTGCTTCTGTTTCTGGAGAAAAAAAAAAAAATGGATCTAGTAGAGTCATCAGTCTGCAGCGTAATAATGAGTTTTGTGTATATCCTTTACTTGTGGTCTGCTGGGGAACATGGATCCTCAAGTGATGGGGATGGTTGTTAAGATGTGTATACATAGATTATTGAGATAAGTCACTTTATATTTTCAAACAACATTTGCCCTTTATAGATACCAAGAGTTTCCATACAATTTGTTGATTAAAAATACATAAGGGAATTCAGATTCACTTATTACCTGTATTTTTCTTGAAATTGTCTGTGTAGTTGTATTAGAGCTGTTCACTGTACTATAATTTAGGGTTTTCTCCTTCCTAAAGTGGTTGTTGTTAAGTGCCTTTGTGTTGGTTCGGACTCATATAAATGCCCTGTATAGGTATTCCAAGGAGAAACTTGTGAGCTTGAACCACCAACCTTGAGTTTTAAACTGACCTTGCAGTCCAACACATTAGCCCGCAGCACCACACCAGGACTCCTCCTGCCTAAGGTGTGGAGGCCTTAATCATGGTGTTGTTCACAGTGTTTTTTTGTGTGCGTTACAGTGCTTTCTGCAACAAATTGTTTTATGTAATGAATTTTTCAAAATCAAAACAAAGATAATCATAGCTTTACTTTTTCCTTAGAGCAAAATCTGAAAAATACGCAACTTAATAGAATATTTCATTTAGCCTTCCGTACCATTTTAACCTACGAACACAGGACTGGACTCGTGTTCATTTGCAATAGCCCACACGTTAACATTTAGGTAAACTAGCTGCATGCAGTTTTTCCCTCAGTGTCTTAATTTGAGAGAGACACAGGAGCACAATGCAACCCTATTTCTGAAGGCCTTCTTAGAATAGAATATGAAATAGAACAAACAGTTCCCAGAGGAGAATGTCACTTTCCCATGTAATTCAGGAAGCTATGAAGCATTTTTAAATGTTTGGTCTTTTCTTCTTTCCCATAGGTGATTGCCAACAGCTGGCCCAATGTCGAATCCAGAAATGCACCACAGACTTCGTTTCCCTGACTTCGCACCTGAACTCTGCCATTGAAGGCTTTGACTCAGAGTTTTGCAAAGCTCTGCGTGCCTATGCAGGCTGCACCCAGAGAACTTCAAAAGCCTGCCGTGGCAACCTGGTATACCATTCTGCTGTGTTGGGTATCAGTGACCTCATGAGCCAGAGGAACTGTTCCAAGGATGGACCCACATCCTCCACCAACCCCGAAGTGACCCATGACCCTTGTAACTATCAAAGTCATGCAGGAGCCAGAGAACATAGGCGAGGGAACCAAAACCCTCCCAATTACCTTTTTTGTGGCTTGTTTGGAGATCCTCACCTTAGAACTTTCAAGGATCACTTTCAAACATGCAAAGTGGAAGGGGCTTGGCCACTCATAGATAATAATTATCTTTCTGTTCAAGTGACGAATGTGCCCGTGGTCCCTGGATCCAGTGCTACTGCTACAAATAAGGCAAGATAATTTTTCTTCTTTTCCTCTTATAACTTTAAAATGCTTGATTTTTCAGATATGTTTACAGCAAATTATAAAAGTCATAGTTTAAAAGGAACCTTGTTTATCTTGTTGGAAAGCAATCAAAAGGTTTTAATGAAAGATTTAATAAAAATCATCAGATTTTCAATAGGATTCTAGGACTTACTATAAAATGAGTCTAAATTTAAATACACAATCAGATAAACAATGAAAAGCAAATGATGAAATTGAGTTCTCTAGGGGAAAAGCAGGCTCGTTTAATTGGGGGGGAAAAGTACTTTTCAATCAGTGATGTTTTGAGTACATGAGTATGTGATTCTTCTAGAACAAATCTATGTCCACATATATCAGACTGATTGAAGTGGGTGTTCTGAATAAAGGAAGCTATGAAGTCCAAGGCAATGAGCTATCAGGAAATATTTTTTATTGGAAATTTGGAAACTGTAGCAAAATGTCATGGCTATAAGCCAGATTTCCAATGGCAAACACACAATGGTATTTTAGTTACTAACGTTACTAACTAACCAAGGAAGTTAAGAACTGGATATTGCAGAACAGTGATGTATTATCCCAGGAAAATCTCAGGACCTCAGGTTAACATTTTAAGTCAGAAACTGAAGGAAAAGCTGACAAAATTCAACATAACCCACCTAGCTGCCAGTGTCTGTGGTCCATGTGTTTTGCAATGTTTCTTTGTTTTAAAAAAACTAATACTGTGCAGAGGTACTCTAAGCCTTCTTTAAGGTGCCAGTATCTTAGTGGATGTAGGTGGAAAGAGGTTGAATTGGGCTCCCAGTTGCCAGTCAGTTCTAATTCAGTCATTAGTAAATAAAGAAGTCATAAATGGTTTTCCACAAAAATCCATGACCCAGGTAACCAGCTCCTTGTTAACCCCTACTGAAAAATTACACAGACCATCTCATCTTGCTTAATTTCCTGTATTTATTGTGCCTATTTATAAGTTGGTTGAAGCTAAAATATTAATTGACTCGCATTAAGCTTTTTTAAAACTCTACAGCTTCTTTCTAATCCAAATGTGTGGTGTATTTCTTTAGTGGATTTAAATTATTTTACTTGGCATTTTGTGAAGGGAATTTTACAAGACCTGGAGTCACCATGGAATGTGACAAATCTAAGATAAGATGTCATTGCTCGGAACAAAGAAGAGCATTACACTGGTCCGGACAAAATGTTTACACTTCAACTCCCAGTCAAACCCCAAATTTGCCTTTTGTCTTACTAAATCCTACAACTCAAAACATAGTTTTTTTCCGTCAGTTTTTTATGTCTGCAGATAATTTCTATATGGTTATCAGAATATATGTTCGCTCTAAGTTACAATATGAAGCATAAACCAATTATGAAGTTACAGGATAAAACTGGGCCCAAATTCCACATTGTCAGGAAGTTTATAGGGTGCATGAAACCTGGGAGTAGTCTCTGGGAAATAGTTGTTGTGCCCTTGAGTCTGTTGTGACTTATAGTGAACCCGGCATAGGGTTTCAAGTGTGCCTGGTGGGTTTGAACTGCTGATCTTGCAGTTACCAGTTTAGTGCTTATCCTGCAGAGCCTCACTAGGGCTCATAACACTGGAAATTCTAAAAGAAAGTTAGTTGGGAATGCAGAAAGTCTTCACTCATTGTACAAATAATTGAGGACTTGGAGAGATGGGTAGCCTCTAGACAAAACTATTGAGATTAGTACTGTTTTATGGGAGAATATAGATTCTTTTCACAATCCTAAAGATTTATTTTCTATGTCTTCCATAACCTCCCATGTTAATTCTAATTTTAAAGTCAGCCTATCAAAAATTCTATACTTTTTACAGACTATGGTGAGAAATATTTGGGGAACTATCTTATAAATTTTACCATTTATATAAATGACGTAATGTATACTGAAGTAGCGTAGTGGTTACGAATGCGAGCCACAAGGTCAGCAGTTCGAAACTACCAGCTGTTCCGCAGGAGAAAGTTGATGCTTTCTGCTCCTGTAAAGATTTACAGCCTCAGAAACCCTGTACAGGGTCGCTATGGGTCGGAACCGACTCCACAGCACATAACAACAAAAACAACATACTGAAGTACTTAATATCATTCTATTTCAGTTGTGGTTGAATTTATTTTTAGAAAATAAAAAATACAACTTGGTGTTCTACATAGCTCTGGTAAGAATCAAAGATTTTACCCATTCCATAAAGGAGTTGGGGGAGGGTAGAACACAGAGTTGTCTTCTGACATAATTGAAGTAGACAATGAGAACACTTGATCTTTAGTTGCTTTACTGGAAAGTATTTCCCCACATCTGGTGACCATGCTGTTCAGCAACAAAGTACTCTGATTTCACGACAATCGTAGTCATCATCATCTTTCCTTTTTGTACCTCTCTCCAAAACTCTCCTGAAAACATCTGGAAGTTTCTCTTGACAACCTTTCTCAATGCTTCTAGGACTTGTGCTGCTAAAACAAAACCAAAGCCTAAAATCTTGCAGTACAGTTTCCTTTCCCTTCTTTAGAACCAAAATAAATCTTTAAAGATCCTCAGCAACACTGTAGGGTAAGCATTGACCCGCTAATCTCACGGTCAGCAGTTCGAAACTACCAGCTGTTCCGTGGGAGAAAGATGAGACTTCTGCTCCCGTAAAGACCACAAGGTATGCAGTTCAAACCCTTGGAAACCCTTGGGTCACTATGAGTTGGAATTGACTCAACAACAGTGGATAGTGTGAGAAAAATTAAAGCATTATTAGGCAAAAAGTTAAGTCTAATGAAGTAGGTTCCAAAGATCTGATCATTCCCTTGATGACTACTGCAATGCTTTTAAAATGAATTCTTTCATCTGATTGTATTTGTGTGTCCCAGCTTTATTGATGCCCATCCAGTAGCCATATAGTCAACTGCCCCATGTGTCAGAGCAGAACTGTACTCTATAGGATTTTCAATGGGTGATTTTTCAGAAGTAGATCACCATGCCTTTCTTTCAGGGAGCCATTGGTGCACTCAAACTACTAAACATATACATGTTCAGCAACAAAGTACTCTATGATTTCACGACAGTCATCTTCGTCATCATCTTTCCTTTTTATATACATAACCCTGCCCCCACCTCCACTATTGATTGAATAAGGGTGTGGCGCTGTGGGTTAAATACACCAGACTACAAAGCCATTTGAAGTACAAGGTCAGTGGTTCAAGCTTACCAGTCGCTCCTTGGAAACCCTACACAGGGTTGCTATGGGTCAGAATTGACTCAACGACACTTAACAACACCAAGGAGCGCTGGTAACGTAGTGGTTACGAGTCGGGCTGCCAACCTCAAGGTCAGCAGTTCGAAACTACCAGCGGTTCCACAGGAGGAAAATGAGGTGTTCTGCTCCCGTAAAGATTTATAGCCTCAGAAACCCTGTGCCAAGGTCACTATGAGTTGGAACCGACTCCACGGTACCTAAAAACAACAACAAACATTATAGATATGTTATCATCTCTGTGGTCAAGCATTTTTCATGTGCTCAATGTCCTGAGATATAAAAACTGACCTTTATTATAGTAGAGACTGTGTTTGTGTATATACATATTATATAGATGCACACACAGTGATATTGAAATTGTTCTATTTAAATGTGCATTCATTTTACTGCTTTCTGCCCTGAACTGAGGTTTTGGACCTGGAGCATATCATAAGAACCTGCTCTACACCTGTCCTGTTGAGCAAGCTGATCTTTGTGAACTCTGCCTGCCCCTGAATTGCCCCCCTTTCTCTCATCCCAAAAAGACAAAGCAGAAGGAGAAATATAAACAGTAGAATGAAAGAAAATGGAGTCATCTCTACTCAGTGGGCCATTTGTTACGTTTTTGCCCTTTTCCATATGGTAAGTGGTGCATTTAGGGCAGGATGTTGTTGGTATGTGCCGTGGAGTCGTTTCCAACTCATAGCGACCCTGAACAGGGTTTCTGAGGCTATAAACCTTTACGGGAGCAGAAGCCTCATCTTTTTCCTGCGGAGCAGCTGGTAGTTTCGAAGTGCTGACCTTGAGATTAGCAGCCGGATTCGTAACCACTATGCTACAGGATAGACCTACAGTATTTGGTGTTGTCTTCTTTTGTCTGCTATTCCTTGCTATTCCCCCTCCCCCTGCCCTTCTCCCTGGTAAACATAGAGCTGGTTTTCCAGTTAGTCATGGTGTGCATAGGTATGCTTTCTCAGGGCCACTTTGTTTTTGTTTATGCCCTTCACCATTTTTATTACACTCCTTCTCTTCAGGGGAGTCTGCAGCAGTTAGCCACCTTGCCAGGTAGACATAGGGAAGCCAGGACTGATTTTTTTCATCTCTCTACCCTGGGGGTTGCGTACCCACACACCTCAATTGCATTCCCCATCAGCTCTGGGCCATCTTTCCCACCTGTGGCTGTGTAAGACAGCTACAGACATGCAGGCACTAGGGATGAAGGAACTGGCAGGCTGCTTAGAGCAAGCATCTTGGAACTGGCAGGGTTAGCTACACTGGAAAGAAACACAGTTTTTGTTGGGGAGGAGATAGCCTTTACTGTATAGGCTCCAGAGAGAACATGTTGCAAGTTCTCTGTGCTTCACACAGTGCATTAACCAGATTATCTGCTGTGGCAATGCTTGGCTTCTCTGACTTCAATTCTACATCCTCTGACAACCACCCCAAGCCTCAGTGTCTTTTGTTGTTGTTGTTGTTGTGTGCCCTGGAGTTGGTTCCAACTCATAGCGACCCTGTACAGGGTTTCCGAGGCTGTAAGCGTTTACGCGAGCAGAAAGGCTCTTCTTTCTCCCGTGGAACAGCTGGTAGTTTCAAACTGCTGACCTTGAGATTAGTAGCCCGATCATAACCGCTACACAGTTTCTTTTAGGTTTGTTCTATGTGTCTCTGTAGCTAAATGAAGTCAGTAAAGATTTATGTATGCCATGATTACAGAAGATGGCTTAGGACTTCTTCAGTTTATGTACTTTACAAA